GCACCACGTGTTCCTGGCTGGGCCTTATTTCTTGCACACGGTGGCTTTTAGTTAATCTGGCCTTCAGTTTATCTTACAGGATTCATATTTGATATCTAAGACAAGATTTGTACATAGAAACCCTAAAAAGCTGTGTTCCTTATTAAACTGGGACTATCCCTGCTAAAAGGTATTTTTCCTATCCTAGTGATATGACACCGAAAACATCTACTTACTGAAAAGCAAATTCACTTCACTGGTGCACTGCATGTATAGGAATGATGCAGGATTTTCCATGAATCCCCTTTTTAGATCAGAAGGTCCAAGTACCTGGCTTCAACGTTCGAGAACTGCTCCCTGCCAGGCTGGATGAGTTTTATCGCTATGAAGGATCCCTGACAACTCCTCCCTGCTACCCCAGCGTTCTGTGGACAGTTTTCAGACACCCCGTTACAATTTCACAGGAGCAGGCAAGTTTCAATAGAGCACATGTTTCCCTGGTTGGGGGTCAGAACAGTAAATGCATATTCTCATTTCCTGGATTGCTCTTATCTTCCTGTAAAACTGAAAGAGAGCCATTGCTAAAAGCCTTCAAGTGGGAAGAACAGCACAGAAGTGACATAAATCAATACCTTGTTCTGTTTGGAGTTAGCATGTTTTCAGTTGACCAGAATAAATAAAAGACAGACAACAGCATAGCCATTGGTACAGTATCAGCTTGAAAACATCACAGTCAAGTGAGATTAATTTCTGTTTTCACTGTGTCCTTACTCCCTGCGTAAAGACTTTCCATGAGTTACTTGCAGATTACTTTGTTCACACTCCATGTCTGAATACTACTCACTAAGCATTTTAGTGCTACTTCGATCCTGACTTAGGTATGACAGGTTGGGTAGATGTTAAGTTTCTAAAAAGCATGTGATGTGTTATTTGTCAGTCTTGAATCCCTAGTGTTTCTCCCAACTGATGTTTTTTGTGCTCATCTAATTAACTTCTTTTGTTCTTAGGTGGCCACTTACACGAACTATAATAAACTCACAGTCACTGTCTTCTGATTCACCTAACTACAGACACAGGGGAAAATGTTATTATCAAAGTCTCTGGTTAAATCACTGCATGCTCCTCGTTATGAAAATCCATTCTTACCTTTGTCCACTCTGTCAGATCGTGTCTCTAGCAGAGTAAAGAGTTCTTTCATAAAGTAGCTTTTAATACTTAGGAGTTAGACTGTGCTAGGGGGAACATGCTGGAAAAGGCCACCATGTTTCCTCCCCTCCAGTTTTCCTGGCAGATAATCACTAAGCAGGATTAGTGTTATCAGGATGTAAACAAAACACGGGTATGCATTTGGAGATGCCTCACTCTTTACACACTATTCTGTATTTGGGCTCACAAGACCTAAGTATCACTTAATTACTTAAGACTTAATCACATAAGACCTAATTATCCCCTTCCCTTTGATTTCAAACACACTCCCAGTGATCACACCCTGGCACTGCTTTCTCTGGATCCTGGGAGCTGAACAGGGTGCTTCCCTTTCTAGCTCCTGGCCCTGGAAACAGCCATGTACTGCACGGAGAGTGACGACCCCGAGCCCCTGGAGATGGTGGATAACTTCAGGAACGTTCAGGAATTTCACGAAAGACTGGTTTTCATCTCCTTCCGTGAAGGTAAGTTGTGTGAATGCTTCTGTGCAAAGAAACAGTGCCCAGTCCTTTGGGGACACTTGAAATACTGAGGTGGCAGTGCTGTTGCATCTGTACCACTGCAGAAATACAGTGGTACATTTTCCAGCAGATCCCTTTGCTCCCTTTTCTTCTCTTACTGCACTGTTGCATGGGCAGCTGTACAAGAATAAGGTACTCACAGAGTACATAAGAATTATTTTTTCCACAGGGGGTGTCAGGCAAGACCTGCAACCCTTCTGATCAAAGGCAAGGAGGTAAAAGAAGAAAAACACATTTGGCCTTCTGATGCTTAGCAGAAGTATTTGCTGTCACTACAAACACTGAACACCTTAAGCTGGCCTTGCCTCACCAGTGATGTTTGCTGGTTCTCAGCAGTGTCAGGCTTGGTTTTAAGCAGACCACACACTTAAAGGGAATCACAACTCTGCCTTTCAGGGACACTGTTTTGGGGAAATCACACAGAATCAGAGGAGGTCCTTGAGGAATTCCAACTTGACAAATAAAAATAATTCATAACACTGGATTGTGTGATCCAGTGTTACAAATAAAAAAAAAAAGGTCATCTTATGAGGAAAAACTGATTTAAAAGCTTAATTATGCAGGGTTACACAATGGCAATGCATAGGTTTGGTGGGGGGTTTGCTCAAAAGTCTGCATCTGTGGTGAGGAGCTGAGCTGTACCCACAGGAAGGCATTGGAGTATATTGTTTGTGCAAAATGTATTGTTCCAAATTCTTTGTTGTCTTGCAAACAAATACTCTCAGGCGTCTGTGAAGGTGGCACATACACTGAGGGCAGAGGAGTCTAGGCAAGCCCCTCTACTGTTTGAAATGGAGACTAAAAGATTTCTAAAAGAAAAAGGAGACAGCACAAAAAAGATTGGCCAAGCAGTAAACTTTCAAATTAATAAAATGTGTTAGGACATCATTTCACCTTCGCCTGCCAGTTTCTTCACCGTTTAGATGAAAGAACAGAAAGCACAGGAGTTGTGCATATTCAGAAATGTCACACAGCAGCCACTGCAGGGACAGTTCTCTGCAGACACACTGCAGTAACTGTTCCTGCCATTCCCCCCTGCAGACAGACCATTTCATAACAGATCTCTTCTGATGTAAAGCTATAAAGAAGAGTGAAAATCAGAGATCAGCTAAAAAAAAACCCCGGCAAAACATTTCCCTGCAATCAGCGATGCTTTAGCCTTGTCCCCCAGAGGTGGCTGACCCCCTGTCAGTTCAGCTGCACCACACTCCCTGCCAGAGCACTGGGAGGCATCAGCAGCGTTTGGCCCTTACTTAAAGCAAATCTCCATCTTTGAGATAAAACCCAGAGACAATTTCACAAGTCCTCCTGTGGCTGGGGACCATTTCAGTTCTCATGGCAACACCTTAAAATCTTTCTAAAGCTTCCTGTAAGAGGAACTACCATGACGTTTCTTTTGAGTGCCTTCTCTGGAATTAATGCACATAATTAGTAATTATTTAAATTTATCAGAATTTATCAATTTATCAAAATTTATCAAAATTCAATACCTGGTGGACTTGGCAGGGATATGTTGTTGATTCCTAACCACACCCAAGAGCTAGTGATTTTCTGAGTCAGACTGGTCAGTCAGAAATGAGAAATGCACTTATCCATCTGTTCCTTAAGTTCACCTTTCAGCACTGACTTACATTCTTTCTGTAAATCACACTCAGTACTTAAAAGTAGAAGGTAGAGAGTTACAATCCATGATCCAGTAACTGAAAATCAGACACTGCATTTTCATCCAGGAATCTCCAAACACTTCACAGAAATAGCATAAGCATTATTTCCATCCGTGGGGGGAAATCTGACCCAGATGTGACTTTCTCAAAATTGTTGCTGTGAACCAGTGCCAAACCCAATAATAACATTTGGCTCCCCCTCTGCTAAGCCACATTATTTGGCTCCCATGCAGAGGTGACACCAGCTGCAGAAACATTTTCAATGTCTCTTTAAAGCTGGCATGACTTAGCAGAGTTAAATGGTGTGGCTTATTGCCCATCCTGCTGTTCTTACCCAAGAACTGGTCTTTATGGCTATGAAAGAGGCTGCTCAGTGCTCCTTGAATAGAAACTCCATTCAGCCCAACAACATTTAATTACAGAAGCTCATTGACTCTATCAGTGAACCATAGAAAAAATGTTCAACCCATTTCAGAAAAGGTATTCATGGCCCCTGTAATCTCACATTCCTCTCACCACAGTCACAAAGGCTCCCTCACAGGTGCAGCCCCTCACCTAAAGGGCAAAAAAAGAAAGACAAAGAAGAAAAAAACGTTGCCATCAAAGCACAGTTCAGTCCAGCTGGTTGGAGGGTGGAAGTGCCCAGCCTGATGCAGCTGAACACGGGTAGGGACAGAGCACACCTGAGGAGAAGGGAAGGAAAAGCCATAAAGGGATCATGGCTTGGGCCAGGCAACCCCAGAAATTTGTGAAAGAAATCCCATTGTGCACACCTAGAGCCCAACTAAGCAGGTGTTCAGAGCAGCTTTTCTGCCCTTTCAGTGCCAAGGCTGCCACCTCCACCTGAGCACAGAGGCCACAAGATGAGGCCACTGGCCTGTGTTTGGCATCAAAATTGCAAATGACTGAAGTCTTCAGTCATCCACATTTTTGATGCCAGTAATTAATATCTAAATTCATGGTCACTCTTGACAAGAATACATTGCAAAAGGTCTCTAATCTTGAAGGATTATGCAGCAAAACTCACATATGTTCATAATGTATTGTGGCTGTCAGCAATCTATTCCAATGAAATCAGCTTCACATTCAGCTGGAATTTGTTATGATGTTCAAACCTTCCACTGCCCACGAGCTCAGTGGGAACTGGTGTCTAGTTTTGGTTATGGTACCATACTGGAATTCTATCTAAGCAAATTTTGTAAGATTGTCTCATCAGACAGAAATGCTCCCTAACCTTCCTCTTCAAAGTACAAGCTCTTTTTTCTACAGTTATCTTATCTATTTGGTGTTGTATTTTCTTGTCCATTTGATGCACCTTTACTATAACAAAACTCCCTTTTTGTAAAATAGCTCTCCTTCAACTCCATGTCAGTTTGAAAGAGTTCTGATGTTGCTTAGAGAGAAATAGTTGTTGGATAAAATGTAAAAAACAATGAATTAAGAAAATGCAGTTAAGAGAGCTCACCTTCAGGATCTTTGGGGAGGCCAAAATAAATAAAAATACTTTATTGCCAAAATATGTATATGAAGGTCGCTAGCAAATATAGAATTATAATTATAATGCTTAACATCTCTATGCAAACAAGGGAACACTCAGATCTTCATACCACTATCCTGAATTCATTCTTACCTTCTTCAGTGCCTTTAAGTAATATTCTCAACAGCAAAGCAGATCACTTTTCAACTCTCCACACTCAGTGGTGTTCTGCCTTGAAAAAACAAAAGGCTTTGAATTTAACAGCCTAACTTGCCTGGGTTTACTTCTTTAGTTCTGCTTATGATTTCTTATACATTATAGCAAAAAAATCAAGATTTTCTGACCTCTCTGCCTGTGCATGTTGGTGCTGTGACTCCAGTGTGTGTCTGACTTCCCAGCACGGTGAGCTGTGGATCCAGCTGTGGGAGCAGGACCTTCCAGGGCACATCTGTGCAAAGTTATCCACTCCATAATCACAGAACAGGCTGCAGGAAAGCTGCAGATGCAGATAGCACCTTAGGCACTAACCTTCTCCTCTCAATCAAGGATATTGACAGTTCTGGATGCTTTCCTCCCTTGCTAGGGTTTGTTGTTTCTGCTGTGATAGCCTGCATCCTGGCAGTCCTCACCATCCTTGCAGTAGCCTTGTGGCTCCTGAAGAAGAGAAGGTAAGATGTCTGCCTGTCACATCACAGAAAAGGAAGCCAAACCAAATTTTTCCTCTGACACAAAGTGAGTCTAAGTAATGTTTGATCTTTTATAAGATGTGATCTCTTCCTACAAACTTTGATTTGTTTTTGTCACTGTAGACATTATTTCCCCTGTATCATACACTCCAAAGCAATTCTGTTTTATTGCCAGCAAAATATGTTTATTTGGCTGAAAGGTCTCTCCGTGCAACCTCTGTGCCAGAGTGGCCACTGTTCTGCCATTGTAGGAGTGGTTGGGTTTTGTGAAAAGCAAACATGTACAGTTGTTTTTCCACAAAATAATAATTGCTGGAGCAGAGCTCAAGTAAACCCTTAAAAGATGCAAGGCCAGGAAATAGAGAATTGTGTGTGAGAATCAGGGAGAACACAAACCCCGGAATATTTCCTGGAACAGTGAGGGAAACGAAGAGAATGGAATTTTAGAAAAACCTCTCCCAAAGGTTACATCATTTTAGGGGAAGAAATATGTATTGTTAAAAGATCATTTAGCCACTGTTTGCCAACAAAACCAAATCCTGGGGAAAAAAATCTAAGATTACAAACTTTCCTACAACCTGATCCCTTTGCATCCTGCATTGACTCCGCACACAGAATCTGTTCTCCTGAAATATTTGCAACAACAAGCTACGGTGACATTTGCACTGGTACAGAGAAAAATAATCTCATGCATGCATAATGGACCATCTTAAGTAACTAGTGGTGCTTTTCCTTCATTGGCATTACAGTTCTTTAATACATGTGTTTTATTTTAGCTGCAAAAAGGAAGGGCAAGACAACAGAGGAGTCATCTACAAACCAGGCACATACAAGGAGGAGGAAGACCTCTCCAAAATGTGATGCCCTGCTCTGTCACAAAAGCCCCTTTTCATTCACAGCACTGATTTACTTTGGATTGGTGGTCTCTTGTTCTTGGCTAATGATAAGCCTCAAGAGAGTACTAAAAGCAGGTACCAGCCAAAAGTCTTGTGTAGCCCTCATTCCCTTGTTTTCCAGAGAGATATGATCAGTGAATACCCCTGAGCTGAATTCCTCACCACATTCCTTTCATGTCTGCTGCTCACTGAGTCTGGGTGTTTTAATTGATTTTACAGTTAATCCTAAACTCCAGTTTTATGGTTTGTTTAGCACAGGTTTTCCCACAGGTGTTCCAATCTGAACACTCTCATCAAGCTACAAGAACTCTTCCCTGCTAAATCAGAGTATTGCTTTCAGCATCGTGAATATAAACAAGATAAAGGGCAAACTGTATTTGAGATAAGAGTTTGAACTGGGTTGTTCAGCTGATACAGTTTTTAGAAGCACAGCAAATGATGCCAGTACATTCACCAGTGGAGCTGGAAAGGAGGAAGAGGGAAGTGTAAATGCAATGGGAGCCACAAGGATTATTAATGGAGTTCAAACCCAGGAACTCAGTGCTGAAAAAACACTACTGCTAGAGGAACAGCTCACCTTCCAGACATCACCCAGCCTCACAAATCTGCTGTGGAGGCCAGCCCTGACTGCCACTGAAATGAGAGAAGCATCATGTCTTATTATCCTGCTCTTATTTATAGTGTGTGTATGAATGATGTGGAGATAATGCAGTTGCTGCTGCTTTTAAGCAGACTTGTCATTTAACCATAAATCCTGATTGATTTTACAGTGTATATTACAGCTGCAATTAAACAGTAGATGGTTTTGCTGATTTAGTTCTCTGACTTCAGTAATTTAATTCCTAGAGAATAATCTAAATTATCTTTTCAGACCATATAAGCTAGATACTTGAGTCTCATTATACATTTCTGAAGGTGAGAAGCATAAACCTGACCCTGTTTCCACTGAAGACAATGTGGAATGTCATTGACTTCAGGAAGAAAAGGGTGGAGCCAGCCCAGCCCCAGTGCATACAGAATTCCTCTTGAACTGGACATTTAAAGTGAGGATCTGAAATGCTTGTACTTAACACACACAGAGGAAGTGACAGAGCACGGGCTTAGACCTAAAATAACTCCAGGTCTGAAGGCTGCTGAACACCACAATCTGAACTTCTCGCTCAGAGCCATCTTACATTCAGTAGCAGCACCACCACAGCTGTGATTTTAAATAAATAAACTCTTATAACGTGTGTTTTCTCCTTTAAAAAAGGCAGATGCAGACAGTTTCAGCATAGAATGTTTTAGATTCTTCCCCTTCCATCCCCAAGAAAACTGTTTACTGTCCAAACCAAGCTTTTGAGTGCCACGAGAAATAACTTATTACTTACTGTACATGAAATTTAGGAGCGCAATCTTACAACTAAGCACATTGCATATTCCAGCATTTTTATCTCACATAAACAAACACATAAAGGTCAGCTTGTTGAAGTGTTTGAAATTATTTAAAAAGCAGCAGTTGTGTGTTATGGGGAGCGTTACTTACTGTTTGAATAAAGGTGTTTAAAGACAAGATCAGATAATAAATTTTTATGCTTTTTCTTTGGTTTCTCTTGTTTCTTCTTGAAGAGTAACATTTTATTGTGGATTTTAATCTTCAGCTCAACTGATTAAAAACATCCATCAATCACTCTCTTTTGCAGGCAACATCCTTGACACCTGTGAAAAGAAGCACCAAAACCTCAGCCAAGGCAAATTCTCACAGTCAGCAAAGAAAACACACCACACACTAGGGGGGGAATTGTCTCATTCAGAATTGTTTCTTGAGCAAAAGAACAAACTTAAGCAAAAGAAGAGGGATTCACACAAATCATATTCCTGCTACTCCCACTTATAACACCCTCTAACTGCGTGGAGTCCTCCTATGAAATCCGTGCTGCCTTGGAAAATGCAAACACAGGAGAAGTGTTATTTTTCTTTAATATTGTGTTACCAGTCGGCACTGCCAGCGGTCCCTCAGCTGAAAGAATCCAAATCCATGTGTTTTCTGGGCTCTGTAGTTACTGTCATTTAATAATCCTATTGAAATATCACATTTTTTAATAGTTTCCAGGAGATTCCTTGTGTCATTCTTACATACACAATATTTGAGATGTCTGGAAAAAATCAGGCATGATCAGAAAGACAGATGTAGTTACCATAATAAACCAAGTTACAAAAATCTCAATTCACTTCTTTTTAAATGGAATGACCCATTTCTGAGCCTCCAAGAGCAGAAATGAAGAATAAATAACTTAAGCCAGCGAAGTGAAGGAGTTAGATGGCACAAGGGGTGTACAGCTCTCCTTCCATCCCTTCCTAAGGCTGCTCTGCTAAAAGGTGTGTGCAGTGGCATCATGGTAAATACCTTATTTTTGCATTTTCTCCACTGTGAGCAGTGTAGGGGTACAACACACCTTGGACAACTAAATGTGTTTCAAAACTTGCTGAGGGAGCCCCGAGTCACAAAAAGTTCCACACATATAATTTCTGATGTACAACAACAAACCCCAAAGGATTCTTTTAATAAATACACCTAAAAGTTATTGCCTCTCAAAAGCAAATTTTAACTTCTGACAAAGCATATTAAAAATAGAAGTGTTGGGGGACAAAAAAAAGTCTTCTTGACTTCAGCTAAAATGGTGGAAAGAAAAGGGAGTAGTTTTGCTATGGCAAAGCTTAATGTGTTGAAGTAAAATGTTATTTTCGTTAATTCTACAGCAAGATCAATACACTAATTCTCATCTAAGTTTAAGGCCTAGTCCTCCATTTTAAACTTGTTACCCTTAATTCAGCATATAAATTTAATATTGAATCATCTGTCTTCCTGTTGCAGAAAGCTCTAAGTGCACAATTAAGATGCCCAGATGTGTGGTACCCGTGGGGAGGTTTGAACTGTGCATTTCAAACTGCTGCCTGACAAAAGCCAAGTTATAAAGTAAAGAAATATTGATTTTTTTTTCCCCTCCCCTAAATGCAAGAAGGCATCAGTTGCTCTAAATGTGGAGGGGCTTTATAATCTGCCCCATTTTTCACTTCCCCTACTGTCAAGACCTTAAGGAAACAAAACTGGTGAACTCACAAGACTTGATGCCATCAAGTGGCTCAGAAAATCAGCACCACCACCAACCACTGCTTTTTTATTATCTGCAAGTAATCAGAACTTCTGAAATTCTACAAGAAAACTGTAAATAGTTATTCTTACACAATGAGCATATTTTGAAAAATCAGCTTATGACTTCATTGTGGTGTGGGCATTTTTAAACACCAATACAGCTTGGACATAAAAATTCAAAAGGAATTTTTATTACTTTATTATTACTTTGCAAGGAATATTTAAATCTTATTAACACTTTATTTTATTTTCCTTGTTTTTTCGTTCTACTTAAAAGAAGACATTTTCCTTCATCACTAGAAAACACAGACTGGAGCTTAACCTCCCACACACGTCCTTAAAAAAAGGCAATATTTATATATTCTACACTCCAAAAATGTCACATAATCAGGAATATTACAGAAAAGTAAAATCTGACACCTTATTTCAGTTTTGGCTGCATATTCAACAGGAAATGTTCACAGAGAGACTTCAAATTCCCTGTATTTTAATTAGAACGTCATTTCTCACTGAGAAAAGTCTGATGGCCAGCAAGTCAAACCCAATACTGGGATCTCTCAAAATGAGCAATTTTATTAATTATAAACATTCCAGTGAACGTTACGTTCTACTTTGCCATTCTCACAAAAAAAGTGTCAAAGCCATTTTGCAAAGAATGGTTTTGGAAGCCTATTTCTGAGCAGCTAAACAGAAAATGAAGTGGTTAAACCTGGAAATAATGCCCATCACTTGCACCTAACTCTTAATCAGAACCCGAGCTGGGACAATCCACCCGACTATGCAGCTCTGTCATGTGAAATTAGGAAACAACAGTTCCAAGAACAACTTTTAACATGTTACCTGGAACTGCACGGAGCTTCTGTGGTATCCCAGGACACAAAGGAGCCACTGTTGACTCTCTTCTTTTCAGTTCTGAGCACACAGAAATGCAGAGCAACTGCCAGTGCATGGGAAGCACTCTGCCTCAGCTGAAGGAACGTGTGCCTCATCATTCACAGCAGCTGCAGGTACTCACCAGCAATTCTACGTTTAAAATACGTGTTTGTATCAAGTCAGGTCCCATTGTCATGTCAGTAAAACATGTAAATGAATGTAAAACTAAAAGTTGGTGACAATTTAAAAGAACAGAACTTTAAATATTTGCACATTGGTTTTATTTGATCAAAACATCTATATCGCACAGTCTCAGAAAAAAAAAAAAGTGATAGTTTCAAAAAAAGGACTCCTAAGTCCAATTGTTTTATTTTAAAAACATAACTAATAATTGTTACCAAAAATAATACGTAAGACAGTTTTCCGATTCCACAGAAGTGAAATGGCACCATCTAGTGACTTATACATGAGAAAGCCAAGGCAGGAAAGTTGTCACTTCTTTTACTTCCTCCCAACACTATAGAGTGAAGTTTGGAAACAATAGCAAAAGGAAATGCAAAAATAAACATGAATGCTGGAACACTTACTATGGAACAAGGACTTGAAAGTCAAGTGTTATGCTCAGGGATTATTTTTGTACCAAACCATTTAGCTATTGTCTTTGGTAAATTAAAATATTTCTGGAGGCACATGCAATATGAATATAATAGTCCCATTCCACTGGCCCAAATGTCTTCCCAGGAAAGCCAAACGCTTTTTAAGCAATGGCAACAATGGCTTATTAAGGAGTTAACGATAACACACACAGCTGTCAAAAGTTATGAATAAAAATTGAGTCACTTCAGATGCACCTCATTCTCCAGTGATAAAATGAAGGCAGCATCTCCTCCAATTAACAATCACACATCGTATTTGCACAGGCACCATGATCCTGCAAGTTCCCTGATTCACTTTTCCAGCAGATTGCCTGAAATCTGCCAGCACAGACCATTTCTAAGCTGTTTTTACAGCACTGAACTTTAGCTGCTTCTGGACAGATTGCATACGTTTTATAAAATCCTCTAGGAATTCACCCACTAGAAAAATACAGACAAAAGCAACATGTTTGCTACGTTTTATATTTTTTCCTTTGTGATTTTCTTAAGGGAATATATTGAAAAAACCCCTTAGTAATCCTTCTCTCAGCACGAAGTCATGTGCCCTCTGCAGGACTGTCGAGGAGGGCTTTTCCTTTCAGAATTGCTACATAAAAAGGGAAAGAGTAAAGGAAGTTGTGCAGACGTTTTTCACCAGTTTCCTCTTTCGTTCTTTGCTTTCTGTGTGTATTTAATAAATACAAAGGACAGTTTCTTGCTTTGCTAGAAAAGCTAGGTCTCTAGGAACCCCCACCACTCTACATTTTAAGGGTGTCTCACCCTAAAAAGCGGGACATGTTGACATTACATCATCAGAGAATTACACTTCTTTACACGCTGAGAGACTGAAAACACTTTGTGAACACCATGACAGTGATCTGTAGCTTTGCTGGCTCCTCACTTATTTGTAGCTCCATGGCAGGGCAAAACCAGTACCCATTCCTAATCAAACCAAGATAAATAAGGTGAACTGCTCATTGGAGCAGGGTCACAAGCCACCAAGAAAAGCAGCAGCCAGGAGAGCTGGCATTGCTCCGTGCTGCTGCAACCCTCAGCAAGGACAAGGGAAAAACCTCATCAGGAAAATCCCAGAAGAGCAAGCTGCTACCAGCTCCTACAGCTATGGGCCAGATTCCAAGAACATACGGATAAAATCCTTTCTGGATATTTCTAGGACAGGCACTGGGTCAAACAATTGCATCTACTGACTTGAACAAATGCAGCTGGCCCAGATCAAAGTGCCTCTCTCTTTCTATGAATGACTTCACCACACAGATACCTGTTTTAGCTTCAGCAGAGCACAGAAAGACATATTTGAACAGACTGCCCTTCCTCTTTCAGAACTGATTTCAGCCCAAGCTGAAATTTCTTCCTGCAAGAAAGGTTTTCAGCTGACACAGTAGAAATGGGACTCCTGTAACCAGTCTTTTGAGAACACTTTAACTTTTTACACAAACCTGTACAATTTTCAAAATGTGTTTTTTTTAAAAACTTCACTTGCAAACACAAGGGATATAATTAATAAAAATTGTCATTTGTTCCAGCAATCACAGATAAAAATGCAGTGGAAGTCCACAAACTCCCATTTGAAATTATGACTTTTCCAATCTCAGCTACAGATATGGTCATGGGAGTGAAACAGCAAATACTTCTGCTAATAAAAATCAGTAAAACAAATAAAAGACATGTATCTTCCCATTCTAAAATTTTCTATGGATACCCTGAAGAAAAAGGCATGCAAGTAATCCAAAGAGAAAACATGAACAAATATGCCAATGCAGAAGTAGCTGTAATTTGTCTTAAATTGGTTGCACTAAACTTTTGAAACACAAATATTCAACTCACTGAGTTACACAATTAAAGAGAGATAAACTAAACTGCTCCCTACAATTAAAAGGGTAAAAGATCATTTCTTCTACTTAAAGCCTAATAATAAGGGACTTCACTAATATTTAAGGTTCAGGACACTGCATGTCTCAAAAAAAAATAGCAGGAAATTTCATAGGAAAACTTGATAAATTAATTATAAACTTTGTTTTAAATTCTCTTCCTTTCCAAAAGGTGGCCCTTCCTATGGAAGAAAGTTCAAAGGTTAACTAATAGAGTTAACACTATTAGTTGTCTTTGACCTCCGATTTGCATCATAGAAACAAATTTTAAAATTGAAGTTCATAAGTTTCATTATTTGCTTTAAGACTCCAATTATTTTATTTTCTGTTATTGAAACTAACTCTTGAGAAGTTATGCTGCCACAGGAGAACTGCTGATATCAAATAGTGTTAGCTGTTTGTCCAATATGATTCCACACTTCAGCAATCTTCAGTGAATAAGAAATACTATATGACTTACTTCCAAATCTGTTGTAGGCAAACCAGAATAGCTCCTGGGGCAGCACAGAAAACACCACTCCAAAGATGAGCACATTTTTCCACACTGATGCTCAGTGGCTCCCACCAATCTGCACAGCGACAAACCACACAGAGGAGGAAAGCAGGGAGAGCAGCCAGATGAAAGCCCTTGAATCAAAGAGGGGAGGGGGAAACCCCAAAAAACTGTTACTCATCTTGCATTTTCCACTCGCATTTGAAATTCCTACTGTCTCCACAAGGCAAATAAATTGGTTAGAGATTTACACAGCAAATACCGCAAAAGAAGCACGTGCTAAAGAAGAGAGCATTTCCCATGGCAAGAAACTGTTTTTTAATTTCAGGAGAAATTTAAACTAGCAATTTCACCTCTGATGTGGACGGGGTGGTTAAAAGCCAGTTAAATAACCCTGCCCATTTATGCAAACTACATTACAAGTGGAAGAGGAAGGACTACCAGCGTGTAAGAAAACACAGAAAAGCAGGGCCAGCTTCTAAAAGGACCTCTGGTTACGTGTGTTTTCCAAGGTTTTATAAAGGTTCTTGGGAATAGCTGTGGGACACCCCGGTGGGACACCCGGGTCACCCCGCAGGGCACAGCCCCGGGAGCGCTGCCGGCCTGCCCTGCCCTGTGCCCCAGCACTGGGAGCTCCCTCGGGAACGCCCCGGGAGTGCCCGAACCTCAGTGACCGCCACATGAAAATCCCCGTGTTTTCCCCCAAGCACATCCCCCACACATCACAGCCCGCGCTGCCACCCCCAGCACCGCCCCAGGGGTGCCCGAGGCCGCGGGACACGGCGCTGGGCACATCCGTGGCCATCGAGGATCGCTGAGGGGAGCCCGGGCCGAGCTCCAGGGGCAGATGTTGCACAGCCCCCTCAGCCCTCGCCGGGGCCGGGGGGGACCCGCGGGGTGGCCCCGCAGGAGCGTCTGAGGAGGGGCCGGGGCGGGAGCTGCGGGCGCCATCTCAGGGAGGGGCGGCCCGGAGCGCCCTCAGCCACGGCCGCCTTTGCGGGGCTTCCCTGCCCCGGGTGTGCGGCTGTCGCCGGGATGCGGGGAGGGCGCGGGAGGGCTGAGGGGTCTCGCTAATCCCCCCGGGATGGCTGAGGCTTCTCGCTGATTCCCCCCAAGGAGGGCAGAGCGATCTCGCTGGTCCCCCCAGGAGAGCAGAGCGATCTCGCTGATCCCCCCCTGAGGGCAGAGGGATCTCGCTGATCCCCCCCTGAGGGCAGAGGGATCTCGCTGATCCCCCCCTGAGGGCAGAGCGATCTCGCTGATCCCCCCCTGAGGGCAGAGGGATCTCGCTGATCCCCCCCTGAGGGCAGAGGGATCTCGCTGATCCCCCCCTGAGGGCAGAGGGATCTCGCTGATCCCCCCGTGAGGGCAGAGGGATCTCGCTGATCTCTCAGCATGGACACAGAGCAGGTAAAGGGCTCCAGGGTTTGTTCCTCCCCTCAGACAGACGGAGTAGCCCCAGCGGTCCCTAATTTCAAGTACACTTACCAGTGCTGTTCAGGAAAGCTACACACAAACAGTATTTAAGACACATGCGTTGCCTTTTCCCCCCGTGTTTTATTGGTTCAGCGCATAAATGTGAGGTTTACAAAGTCATTGCGTTTTGGGTGAGGAAGCTCAGAAGCAGCGTTTGGACAGAACTTGTTCAGCCTTCCTGGAGAAGTTCTGTCCTTCATCTAGAACACATACCAGAGCTAGTTAGTTCCTATGGTGCCTGGAGAGAGGAAAAAAAGAAGTATAATAAGGATCAACATGAAAAAAAATTAAACATTCAACTTTTCTTTGGAGATGAGCACACTGCATACGAAAGTATGTCTGGAAATAAGGATGCAACTGAGAAGTGCCGGCACGGCAGCCCTCAGTCTCACCAGCTTCTGGCCAAGGTGTGTCACAGCAGCATCACCTCTTTGTGCTGCTCTGCAGAGGGGTTAAACCAAGGCAGAAAGGTCAGGGAGCACGAGGGTAGCTTGCCACTGAGAAATCAAACCCCGTTTTGAAACAAGTCCATCCATCTGAGACACCAGTGCCCACCCCGAGGCCCTGGGACACGGTCAGGGCTGTGCCAGGGACACGCCTTCGCAGTGGTGGCACAAGCAGAAAAAGTCACACGGGCAGCAAGTCATCTCAGTCATCTACTCAAGGAAGGTATTTAAGACTAAGTAGGGTGAAATTAGTGAACGTTTACAGAGTTCTTGGTCACTTTGAAGGCAGTACAATGTATTCAGTAGCAGAGTTTAAGCTACACACATTTTCCACAATTCATTAAACCTGTTAATTCCTCAGATGGGGAAAATGTTCATATCCTGCTCTAAACTTTCAACTTTATTTCACAAATTGAATTAACAATATGTACTGAATATATGCTCACAGAAGTTTGTGGAGCATTTGTTCAGCAGCTTACTGCTGATGTGCTCTGCCCAAGACAGTAAAAAATTTTTGAAGCATCTACAACACATCCAAAAGTACTACAACTTTTCAGTACATTTTGCATTCCATGCCATACCCTTTCTTTAAACCTCCAGATGGCAAGAATAACCTCATACAAGATAAAAGCTGTACTTCTGTATCTCTTGAAGATTAGAATCTTTCTAAAGAAAAAGCATTTTGAAATCTTGTATTGATGACTTTGGTATAATTCAAGAACTCTAAAGAGCCAAGCTGGCAAAAGAGTAATTTATGCAGCAGGCCATTTAAAGCTGGATACATTCGACATGCGTACCAACAACTTGCCTCTGATCCACAAGTGTGCAGTATTTGTATCATAATTGCTAGTCTGCAACCAAAAATAGACCCAAGAACTGTAATAAATCACCATTTTTATGTAGGGTAAGTATGCCTGCTATTTCCTTTTAACAAAGGCAGAATGCAAATGTACTTAAAATGTCACTAAGGACTGTGAGAACCTAAGGACTGCTGAGCATCTGAACCCAGTTCAGATCAAGCAAGATAATGTTTAAACAACTGGTCCTAACACAGCAAACTTGTCTGCCTGAAGCAGTCTGAAAACAACAACCAACCCAACCAAAACCAAGGAGTAGTAAGCTGTAACAAGAATGTAACTCCAGCTTTCTGTTGCTTAGGGTAAAGAGAAAACACATCCTTCTAGCTAAATACAGCTTATTAAAGGAATGTGTAGGAAGAACACATTTTAAAAACTCCTTGTCACCCACGTGTTTCCCACTCATTCCTCAGGGTGCCCACTTGGATGTCTCAGATACTACTCTGCTTTTGCCTTGGGCAGACAAAACCATTCCTTCCTTAGGTTTGCTGATTTTTGTACCAATTATAGCTACTGTCAAACCACAGTAATTTTACTAACAGCTAACAAACATTTGTCAAATCCCTCAATATTCAGTACTGAGGGAAGCTGGACAAACAATATTTGCTGTATTGATTCACGATACTTGTGCCTCGGGGTACTTCACAGTCATACCCTTCACACAGGGCTGATTTAAAGCAACATCAAAAAAGAAAATGTTAACAGCTTAGTTCAGTAGATAATTCTTAATCGAACTGGAGATTGTGTCTCATGTTACCTTGTGGTCACTGCTCAGAAGTGACTTTTAAAGGGTATTTCATGACACTAAATGTCTGGAAAAATGGTTGCTTAAGAAACTGAAGGTCACCAAAATAATAGATTTAAGCAATCACTACAGGAATAAAGGATTTTTCAGGACAACTCTAAAGAACAGTCAAGTTCAGGAAAAAGCAAAGCCATACAAACCCCCTTGTGGTTTATCACTAGTTGGGCCAAGCTTTACAGATGCAGCTCAGCTGGACACCTTTCCACAACAAAGGTATCAAAAGTGGAGTGGAGATGCCAACTGGACAAAAACTACGTGGAATATTTCATACAAAATGCTCCAAGTGCTTTTCATTACGTAACTTTTATTTGAGACACACGTTGTAAAAAAGTTCACATGAAATAATAAAACTATTGGACTATGAAGGTTTTTTTAAGGGGATGGGTTTGGGTTTTTTTGTCTATATACATCAATACACAATTAATGGTTAGGTTTACAAGTTAACCACATGACAAGTTCACTTTTATCTGCAGGAGCTTTTCACATTACACCTTTATATCAGAGGTAAAATGTGCTTAAAAACACACAGTAGAACACTTCTATTTCAAAATTAAGCATTTTCTCAAGGACTATACTTTTTATTCTCAATTTAGTGGCTATATAGCATTAAAATAACAGTAATTGAAGTTTTATTTGCAAAAATGTCCGTAAGGCCATAGGAATGCACTAAAATAGTTAAATTCACCAGGAACAAGAAAAATCAGTGTAAATCCTGCTTTTTTGGAAGAAAGAAATACGTTTTTTATTTATAAGAATGAGAATGGTATAAGCAGGTCAGTGAATGGAGGAGAAAAAAGACCTATTATCACCTACAGACCAATCCTTAACAAGTTTAACATTGCAAAAATTCCATTACATTAACAGATAACCAAATAACAGATGCATTTTCACAAATAACACATTTAGGCATTTTACATATTATTCATGTACTTTCAAATCGTTATGCATTCACAATAGTTTAATGTGATATGTACATTCAAGACTCCTTTATTCACTCGTGAGAATGATCCACGAAATTCACTTGACTTCAGCAGACGAGTATGGGAAAGGTACTTTTACAATGGGAAACACTTTCTGGAAAAAGAACTACAGGTCTGAAAGGTCACTCAGCACTTTTAAGACTGTCCCCCAAACAGAGAAGTGAGCGGCATTAAGTTTCATGAGTGGTTTAAGCTTTAGCAATAATAGAACTCCCAGACAATAAGTACATAAAATATTCTATATACACTCAACAAAAACCTCTTGTGCATGTTTTGCTGAGCACAGACCAAAAGCTAAAATTGCAAAGCACTGAGACCAGTTTGTTTTGCATTTGGCTTTTTTTTAAAACCATTTAGAAAAATGTTGGTCAAAGATATAGTGCACAGACATGGGGCTGAGGGAAAGATTTCCTAAAACTCCAAAGCACAAGCAGCATTTTTGTTTTACTGAAATCCACCAAACAATGTCTGCTTTCCTGAAAGGTTAATGGCAATTTCTGCAACAAAACAGAAATACATTTGCTGCTTAATGAGTAATAATTATATGACTTTCATTCTAATGGGCATTAGAGTACTGACTAGTTGACTGAGGTATAGTTAAGAGTCCTTCAAAACTTAAGATTATATAGTCTGGAGCAAAGTAGCAACAGAGACTGCACAGAACAATCATGGTGATATTAGAAAAGCCTGTAATACCCAGCATCTGATGCACAGGCAGAACATCCCATCATCAGCACCCGCTTTCCAAAGGCAAACACAGCTAAAATATCCCAGTCCAAGAGAGCTGCCCCCACGCCGAGGGACAGCACGTTTCTCCAGGCCTGGCAGGGCAGGCTGGACACAGGGAGGTCTACACTGACCCACAGTTAGCACACTGCTAAAGTGCAGCCACTCAGCCATTTAATACTGCTGGAGAAGTGGGGCGGGGGCAAAAACACAAAGAAAGAAAGCTGCATTTTACCTTATCCATAAGACCACATGAAATTAGAATTCTTCAGTTTCAGCAGATGACAACAAAATTGCATTAAATTCTTCTACAAATAGAAAAAGATGAACTGTACATGAACAATAAGCAAAGTGAAATATTTACTGCAGTACTTTCTCATGCATAAAGTGAATTTCCTATGGTCTTACCTCACATTTATGTACAGTTTAGCACAGCTAAATGTAAGAAAATAGCAAGTTTTTTTCTCCCTCCCACCCTCCCCCATACAGAGCAGATACCCCAATTCGCTGCTGCTTCAAGAAGCACTTCATAGACTCTACTACTTACAGGCTCTTTCAAAGGGAAGTTCATGGAGACTAATAATTGAATAGACATTTAACCACACAGCGAAGACAGGAAAAAACAATACAAAGCATTCTGTAAACAGTGCCAAACACAGAACATGTCAGTTTTGGTTTGCAGACAACCCCTGAGATAAAAATCAAAGTATTACGACACCAAATAAGTCAGAGGTAAATTACTGAAAATAAACAACATTCATAATTGGTGTCACAACACTTTCTGTATAGAAGCACTTTTTTAACCATACAGAAAACATAACTGCTTTAGCCTGTCCAAGAAAAACATCAAGGGTAGACAACACAGCAGTTAGGGTTGCTTTGCTTTTCCACTAAACCTTGTTGCCATGAAGGTTTCTCTGTTCTAGTGCAGCAACAGCAGTTTATGAGATCCACCACCTAGTTCCAATAACTACTTCTAGCAAACTACACGTGGGGACAGGTCAATAACCACTCAGAACTTCATGGAACCAGCTACTACTAACGTTAAACCTTTTCAAATCAAATGTTTAAATCTAATACTACTGGCCTGTTCACTTCCAGAATATTCAGGACAGACCCAGAGATGACAAATGCAGTACCTGACACAACAAAATGAAGTGGTTCTCTGTGGAAACGACCAACTCACTGTTTACAACTCCAGCCAAGAAGTGAAGCAAAAGCAGACGCTGACTTTGACAGTGACAGAACACACCTATCCCCCAACAGCAACCAGGCTGGACACAAACTTGTACTTAAAGCTTACAATGGTCCACGTTTGGCACACCAACAGAACTAAAGCACCTGTTTTAATTGCTCATCGAGGAAAGTTTTCCAGAAGACAATAAAAAAAGTAGTAGAACAAAGACTAGGTTATACAATGCTCAGTTGAGTAAAAAAGGCAACTATGTTTCACCTCTGCTTCTAACAGTCTAGGTCACTGTACCAGTGATGAAAAAATAACTGCTCGAGCAGACCAGACACACATTCAGCATTAACTGCAGAACCAGGAGTATGTTATAGCCCTAATGCCACGGCTTCCCCGGGGCCAAAGCTGGGCACGCTTCAGCAACCGCCCAGGAAGCTGGTTTGGGACACCTCTGTTGCCAAGGGTCATTACAGACCTTAACGAACTATTCAGAGTTACAGTAGAAATGGAAGTCACCTTTAGAAGCAGTCATTTCTGAACAAGTGAATCCAAAAGAGGTTACTCAAGACTCATGCATTCAGCTTCCACAAGCCACTTAAGTGATAGCGATGAGGCCAATTTGTGAGGCTGATTTCAGCTCCAGAGTGTAATTCCTCATCAGAAACACAAAAAGGTGCAGTTCGAGCTAACAAAGGGAAGTTAAGTGAGGAAAGACACTGTGTTTATTCAAATAACTGAAAGGTGCATCTGTGAATCAGACAGTGACTGGCAATTCAGAACACAACTTTGCTAAGTCTGGTAAAGAGAGAAAAGCAACATACTACATTCAGAATAGAAGCCACAGCTTCTGCATGAACAGATTTGTGCATCTAAGAGAACAAAATCCATAGAAATTGCTAAATGCCAATTTTTACAGTAATTCTCATCACTAGAGCGACAACATCCATACTGCATGGCCACAAGTATACAGCATAGAGATAATGGAAGTGAGACAATTTTTCCCCTGGCTCTTCTGCTTGAAAATAAATTTGTTTAAAAACAGAAAGAAAACCCTGCACAAATCTGTTAAGAATTTACAAGTCAAACTGTGCAAATACAAATGTAAGATTGTGCTGTAACAGGCAGTAAGAGGCCAATATGGATGTGCAAAGTTAAAAGAAACATAGCAGCTTTTGCAACAGGCAATAAAACAGAAAGTAAAAAATGAAAACAGGTTAACTCTTGCATTTGTGTCTCCACTTCATAGCTTCCATATCTGAGAAAGAAAGCCTGACAGGTCAATAGGCTTAGTGAGCAAAATCCACTTGGTATTTTGTGTATCGCAGTCTACGTTCAATGGAGCTCTCAGCAGCAGCTTGGTGGTATTATTTCTGAGGCTTTGTGACCCTGTGCTTTCAAAGAAGCAGAAAAGGTTCTAAGTGTGCTGCAGTCTATCATTAGAAGTTCATCAAAGTAGCGTGCATCGAAAGAAGCTGCTCTTCTTAGATCGATTTTCTGTTATTTTTACTGGCCCACCTGCCCCCGATGAACTGTTGTCATTCTGAAAGAGAAAAGAACACCAACATCACAAAATGTAGAAAACAATATGTCCAGCTTTCCTATGTTTCCCTCCCCACTTCCCCCCCTTGCAAGGCAATAACCAGAGCAGAGGGTTGTTGCAACTTGAGCTCCTCAGTCACACAGACTCTGTTACTCACTGGATAAAACTGTCTATTGTAAAAATAACATTTCCCTAACAATCCAGAGCTCAAGTATTAGCTGCAGAAGAGACTATGTAATAAAGCAGGGATCCCACTGCTCCATTTCAGAAGAACACATCAGTTCCAGGCTGCCCAACGTTAATGCTCATGCAAAACAAGGACCAGTTCTGCACTGACGTGTAATAAAGTGTGAGAAATCACTGTTTGCTCAGATTTGATCTAGCAACTACTGTAATCCCCAGATTTTGGCAGGGCTGCTACTCAGCCAACTATTAGAGCTGTGTTCTCACTGGATGTAGTTTGTATGCTAATTGGAAATACAAACCATTTTTCTGTTGAGCTTTGTCATAATGTCCCGTGCAAGTGTGAAAAACGCCTGGTGAGGAGTGGAAATAAAGAAAAAACAAACAAGAGTTAGTCCCAAGACACATTAAAGACATGATAGATTTGGAACAGCCAGACATATGAACAGTACAGTGTTCTGCAGGCCACTAATGGCACTTTGAGCTGCAAGACACTCTCTGTACAATATCTGCAAACTTAAAACCTCAATAAACATGCTCGAGAAGAAAAAACTTTCTATTATGAGACTCAACTCTACCAATCTTTGAAGCAATTGAACAGACTTTCCCTTTGCATACCTCTGGAGGGGGAAAGAAAAATCAGCTGAAGAGAAGGCTGCACATACTAACACTCTTTCTATTCCCCCCCAGCTTAACTGTGCATCACAACTAGAAACACAGAGAGGTTTGAGGATGGATGCCTGGGAATGCTCAGTAAGGTCAGCTTGTGTCTGTCCTCCAAAACCTTTGCTCCTGGGCTACCTCTAAGGTTATTTAAGCTTCCAATACACCGTTATTTAAAAAACCCTCAAAACAACAAAACCCCCCCATAAATGATGACTCTGGCAAATCTCAGCATCCCCGATTTCAAACTAAGAAGGAGTAAAATAACTGCTGTAGCAGAATAATTCTACAGTTCTCCAGAAGCAGGGAAAAGCAAGACATAAGGGTATCTGGAGACTTTCACAATCCAAGGACAGTTCCAGAATGTAAAGAGTGTAATCACTTCCCCTTTCATTGTGTTCAGAACATATCCAAAGAGAGACACTCATTTAATGCAAATAACTCACAATAAATAAATAAATAAATTCCTTTCTGACCTCGAGAACGTCACAATTGCACAATTTCCCACAAATGAAGCATTTGGTGGAAAGTAGACTAAATCATCAGTGATTGCCAAATGCCTACACCAGCTACATTTTTTAATGCTTTTTTCACTATTCATGCGACAATTTAAAAAAATATTCAGGCAGCCAAATCATTTGGAGTAACCACAAACCACTGCTGTGCATTTAATGACCTGCAGGAGCTCAAATGAAACTGCAGGTGTGTCATGAAAGGCCAAGTCGACCCTCCAGAGGAACTCAAGCAGAAGATGGGTACTTTTTATCAGGAGACTCAACTATCCACCCCCACTGGTATTGCTGCTCATGGTCACACTTCCAGTGCCTGCTGTGGGAACCACGGGGACACTGAAACGGGGTCAAACACTGCTCCAGATGCAGCACCATGCAAACCTGTCCCTTCTAACTATCCTGGATAACAACAACCATCCTGCAAGCACAAAAAACATGCTTGGCTGGAACGACAGCCCTCCTGTTGCTTTAAAGTAACAATGGCTTCAGTTTGTAGTTAATTTGTCAGCTGCATGATCAGAGTTAAGTACATGTTTGGAGGACTTTCAAAGGGTATCCCACAGAAAGGTTTGAAATGATAAGGTACAGGAACAACACTTAAGAACAAGTCTACCTTACTGGATGAATAAATCTTAATGTAACTGCCTTCAGATATAACTATTTTTTGTCCACACTTCATACAGTTAAGATCCTCCCCCCTCTCTCCCCAAGATGACACAAGTGATTTATAGTAAGATAGACTGGACTTGAGCCAACTCTTCCTTCCAATTCCATTTCCTTATGCTCTTATAAATAGGGATTGTCTGTTTTTAGCACAGACTTTATTTGCAGGAAACAAATTACAAATCTCTAGATAGTATTGTAAGTCTTCTTCCTCCTCTAACATCAGTTTATGACCTGGTGTTCCAGGTTAACACACAAATTTTCAGTCTCATCTGCACAGCACGTATTCAGTAGTAACCTGAAGGTTCTTTATCCTGAAAGTAAAGAATCCTGAATCCAATTTCCTGCACAAAGCACTGCTCTAAAATTACACCTATTCCTTGTCCAAAAGGACTTGAAATTTAAGTAGCAAGGCACAGACATCTAAAGCAACTGTTTGCTACAGTAATAGTAAACCACTGTGTTACCACCCATTTAAAAACCAATTCCAGACGTTACCAGAAAACAAGGAGCAGTTGGATTATAACAGAGGCTCTCTAAATATAAGAAGCTTGGTGACCCAGGAGCACAGCTGGGACTTCAGGTGCCAGATGAGGTCAGAAAGCCCAGCAGATGACCAAACAGACCCCCCCAGCAGGAATTCAAAAAACACCCGAGCATAACACCCATCTCTTACCTCTTCCACGTTTATGCTGGATTTTGCACTTGTCTCCAAAAATTTGATTCCATAATCAATTGCTAACTGGAAGAGAGGTTAAAGTGTTTCAGTGGTTTTGAGGTTCCTTTGTAAAAGGGATGTTTCACATAGATTCCTACCAGAACAGATGCTGCAGCAAGCTTTAAAACCAAAACCAAGCACTGCTTTTCTCTTGCAATAAGATTAAAGTTACTGAACAATTAGACAAAATATTAGAAGAGGCCACACACCATCATATAAAGTCAAAAAAAACAAACAAACAAACAAAACCCAGATTGATTTCTCACAAAAAGACTTACTTGGGCTCTAAAAGACCATTAAGGCAGAACCTTTATTGATATGGATTTATGGGCCAGATAATCATACAATCATGCCCTCAGCTCTGTTACTACCAACTACACAACTTCAGCTGCACACGTGAGAGATTTCACAGGGTTCTTACTCACCTGTTTGTTCTGCAGAACAACTAATTACTTAAGCTTTAATAACAGCACTCATGACAAGAGTAAGTAATTCACCCCCATGGTGAATTGAATAGAACATGATCAAACTACACACAAAATTTATGTTGAGATCTAAAATACTTCATGCTATAGCAAAGGCCAACATTCTTAGCAGGATCTTGCCTTCAATCAAGTGCTATTTCAAGACAAAAACCCCAAACCTGGCATCCTGTAAGCTTCTGAAATGACAGATTTGAGACCTGTTATGTCTCATAAGCTTAAAACACACCAAACATCCAGGAGCTAAAATCCTAAGAGAAGGAGGTTTCTGAATGGGGTAAAGTCATCAAATCTTACCTTCTCCCCTTTTTCTTTTGAGACTTGTCTTTTTTCATTCATATCGCACTTGTTACCCAGGATCATTCTTTCTACATCTGAAGAGGCATGCTGAGAGAAGGAAAAGGAACCTCTCAGAAACAAAGTGCATCATGGTTTAAAAGAAACTTTTGCGTCAAACTCCTCCACGACTATTTTATTTTAAAGAAATTATCGAATGTCAAGGCATTACTGAGAGAGACTGATTTTTGAAACAAGCAATTAAAACATTAAAGAGGTTGGAATAAATACTCCTAGATTACATTACAGATCAAATCTGTGCCATGGGCTCTGTACCAGGTTGCACACGTGCCCAGGCATTTGGCTATTCTGGAAACAGAACTGTACACACTTTACTTCCAAGTGGTGCTTGGACATCTGGGGGATTTGGTTGGAGTATCATTATGGAATGTATTTGTATTTTTAAAATAGATTATTAATAAAAGTCTCTTTAAAGTAATAATCACTTCAGCAAGAGAACTTTTTTAGCCCAGTCACTCTTGCATGAAATGGCTCACTAATACAGGAATTTTAAGAGCCAGAGAAAATACTAAAGAAAAGCCCATGGATTTTATGTTTAAGAAAAACAAACAGTAAGATTCTGTTACCTAATTACAGCTTCACTAAAATTACGATTTCTCCTCTAGCTTCAGAAGGACCTATCCCTACCTGGCAGAGTGTCCCATCAAAGAATTTACAATAAATCAGCAGGAAGGAAGCTCACCCCAGAGCAAAGGAAAAACTCAAAACTCCCCAATCAGACACACAGAACACAGTGAGAACTGAAATCAGAGATCTCTCTCATCATCTAAGTGACAGGTGGGCACCTTGAGATCCTGCTCCTTCCCATTCCTTAGACACACCCAAAGTATAAAAAGAACAATAAAAGTCATACAGTAAGAACAGTTTTGAAACACCTTGTGCTTACTTTTCAAACTTCAGTTTTCTACCTTCTATCCTTAAATGAACAAAATAATATTAGCCCCATTAGCAACCACTGCTGCATTCATTGCACAGTAAATTGGTCATAAATGCTGGTTACTATAATGAGAGTGAAAAATTACTTATTATTTGTCCCAGGGAAATTCTAAGATGGAACGAAGCACTTACCTCCTCTATATTTCTTATCCAGTTTTTTATGTTGTCAAAAGACTTTTCATTTGTGATGTCATACACCAGCATAATTCCCTAAATAAAATTAGGAAAATCTAGTTAGATGAGCTAGCACTATTGGCTGACTTTTGATCTATGCTGCAGGTTTAATTATATTTGCAAAGAAATTCAACATAAGACTTAATTCACCTATAATCCTTTCTCAAGGCATTATGCCATGGCCGGGAATTTACCCCAAATATTACTACTTAGCATCTTTTGCCACTGCTCACACAAAGCAGTAAGACCATGTAACAGCAGCACAGCTTGTAATCAGCAAGTTTTAACAGTGCTCCAACATAAAGTATCTCAAATCACAGCATTAAGAGCATTACAAGCACTTGTAGCACACAGGGTGCAAGGCTGGAGCCAGTTATTTGACTTCAAGTCATTCCCAATGGAGAAAAAAGTAACAGTAGCTGTTGCAGGTGATTGTATTTCTAGCCCAGATTTTGCATTCTTTACTGGCTGAAGGAAAAGCAATTCAGTGAGACACATTTTTAATATTAAAATAATTCATTATTCATTTTTCACACACTTCAAATGTTTAAAGGGGTTGACTGCATTAAAAAAAAACCAACACCAAACCTGTCTGATTAAAGCTTGGCAACTTTATTATAATCTGCTGAAATGTTAATTGTATGAAAAAAGACAATAGGGCTTCAAGTTTCATCACCAAAACAGGCCTAGACAAAGTACCAGCAGGCTTAAGAAAGGAAAAACAAACAAAAAACCCCCAACCAAACCACGAACTTCACTCCCCACATCTCAAGCCACAATTATCCAGTCCTGCAGTTGCAGACTTACAGGATACAACCTTAAGAAGAGCAAACCAGTTCCACCAGTTGTGTTGGGCTGCTCTGAGTGGGACACTCACCATGGCTCCTCGGTAGTAGGCCGTGGTGATGGTGCGGAATCTCTCCTGGCCCGCTGTATCCCTACAGTTCAGGGGGAAAAGGGATTTGTGTTACACTCATCCGGACTCAGAGGTGTCTTTTTAAACACACCAGAAACACCCACCTGCTGCTGCCAGCACACTCAGTCTCTACTCACCCCCCAGGCAGGGAGTGGGAGCGTTATCACTCCCCTGTGCCTTGGTGAGCACAACCAGGTATCAAAGTATCAGAGATCACATTTTATTAGGCTGCATATTTTAATTTACAGCTGTGCAGTTAATATTTCTCCTCCACAGGGAACAGCTAAAAGCACATTTCAGAGGACAGTTTTGGACAAAATGGGAAGTTGCTGAAATGCTTGCATGTGAACAGGCCATTTCCTGTGCTCCTGAAGCAGAACCACCCCGAGAGCAAGCCAGGGGAAAGCATAAACCTCATGGGCAGTCAATGAATTAAAGGTATGAAACTTCTAGGACTCTGAAGCTCAAAAGCTGTGAAGTATTCTTCTCTAAATGAATACAATATTCACTGCAAACTTAAATTCCTTTGGAATACTTACCATATTTGCAGCTTGATTTTCTTTCCATCTAATTCTATTGTTCTGATCTTGAAGTCGATTCCTGCCAGAGAAAGAGATACTCTTCAGTTCTGCAGTTAATGCCAAGGAAGTGTTCGGTTTCCTTTTGGCAATTTGGTCAGAGCACACTCAGTCAAAAGAATTATTCTGAAGTTGTCCCCCCTTGCACACCCTGGGGAGTGCTCAGAGCACACAGAGCTTTTCAGCTGCACCCAACATGGCCAGGACAAGTTATTCTGCACAACAAAACCAGACTAAACTCACCCTCACTACCAGCTGGCCAAGATTATTAGAGAAGATTTGATCTCCAAACCCTTCCACTTCACACCAATAAGGTCACCAGTTTCAACATGTATTTTTCCCAAACTTTTGAGCAGCCCCTGCAGTCAATTCCCTGGTACCTCTAAATTAAAATCCATGGTGACCCCTGAGCTCCTTCTCAAAGCCAGCATCTACTTCTGAAAACTGATGTTTAATGCAGCCTAACCAGACACCACAGTAAATGGTAAAACAACACAGCAGACAAGTCTTACAGGTAGGTACTGAAGGTGGCTGAAGTACATCATGAATGGGACTTTTTCAAGAACTTAGATTTTCTAGGAAGCTCTGAAAGGTATCAATCAAAGGCATCAAATTCTCTTCTTTTCCCCCTTACACTTCCCATGGTACCGAGGTACCCATCAGTTCTCAGATTAATTTTCAAGACAGATTTTAAGCCATGGGCAAATAAAAAAAAATTAAAAAAAAATTATTTTAGAGGGGCTTAATAATGTCTTTTAAAAGTTTAGAGGAGTGAAATGGATCTATGAATCAAACATAAGATTTTCATTATTAACTACTTTAACTTCTGCATCTCTAAACCTATACTATAACATAGGTCAAATTGAGACTATTCAAGTCTCACTATGTGACTGACAGATTTTTGGGCAGCCAACCCCATGTACCCTCCAAAATAATCTGTTTTGAAACTAATGGCCCATTTTCTCCTCACTGAATCTTAAATAGTTACTTGATATTTAGTCGTAGTTTGTAAAAGATAGGGGTGGGGCTGAGTTATTTTGTTTATTTAATTTCTTCTTTCTTAAGATGCAAATTAACTGACAATTATCAAGAGTACCTTAATGGGAAAAAATGCTGTTTCTAGCTTAGAAGTCATCCATCACTTAAACAGGAAGCTATGGGATTTTTTAATATACCACAGTAGAATCTGAATATGAAATATGGACATTCATTAGCTATTTGACTTCCCTTCTTCTCACATGTATTATTACTGTTTTAATATACTGAAAATACCAAGTTTCAGCCACTTAATCCTAATGTGCTCTGGATACGTAGTTCAGCTCATTAGTTAGAATACAAATTATGAGAAGAAATATCACATCAGCATTTTAACAGCACATGAAATTAACTGCACTAATTTAAAATGCTATGACTACTGCTCCAATTGCAACTTCCCAAGATTCACTAGTAGATTTACAGGCAAAAAGATCTTCCATTAATTCCCACTTTTCTAAAAATGACATGAGAATTATGCATATTTTCTCAAAATCCCTATTATATTGTAACAGAAGTTTGGCAAGTTTGTTTTATTTTACAATGGACAGAATTTTCCTTCTCTTGTAAAGATTTTTCTCCTAACCAGGTGCAATCACAGCTGCTGAAGTCACAGGTAATTGTATTGAGGTCTGAAAACAAATAACCTTTGCTCTGAATAGATTTTGTTTTGCCCCCAAAGGTTATAAAGCACAAACACGGATTTCTCTGCAAAGGGAACTGTACCGTGGCAACAGCAAATTAAATCAGTTTTAAAAGCTCGTTTGTGTCTAGGCCTGAAGCTTCAGTGTAACAACAATCAGGAAAACCAGGTTCAGAGACTACTGTGGTTTAGAGATAATTCTGCCTGTGCTGTGAACTCCTGAAGCTCAGACACAGCAGCACAAGCAGTGACAGACTCCTGGAGGGATGGTTTTCCAGGAGACTCCCAGCTGCAGTGTGAGCTCCCCACGAGCACCAGCCCATGTCTTGCACAGACTGGTTTCTTGCAGTTACTCATTTCCCTTGCACTGCCAAAATGATTTATACAACCATTCCTTTCACCACTTCTAAAACTCAGGATCTCCACAAAATGCACCTTCTCCGATCATAGGATTTCTAGTATGAACTTCACCAGAATTCTTAAAGGTGAACTCCAAAGCTAAAAGAAGAATCTAAAGGGAAAGGCCACAAGTACCTCTGTTATGACACTACCATGTTTAACAAATGCAACTTTTTAGAGGCTAAAATGAACTAGAAACTGATGTTTCTTTTGTGCTTTCAGTTCAGTGCCAGGAAGTGGTGAGCTGCACACGTTTGTAGAGCAAGGCTGGCGACATGTGCTACCACTTCCTGCCAAGTGCACTTGCATGGCCACGAGCTGGTTACAGCTACATTTCAATTACAGCATGTAAACCCCTCCAAAACTACAGCATTTCAGCAGTAATTCTGGACTGAACATTTCCTTTATTAATTCTTTTGTACAGTCACACACTGGGATACAAAAGTTTGAAAAGTTACTCAATAAAGAGGAGTCGTTTGTGACTTTGATTGCAAAGGATCACACAGCTTGCAGTTTTAAAATGCAACATGGAATGGAGAAGAAGCCCAGAAACATCTGGATGTCCATCTGAAGCTAAGTTTTAGAAGCTTTCAGAAAACACACACTCAGATTAATTCTTAGAGTGCAAATGCTAACAGGATAATTATTTTTAACTGCTCAAGTGCAGTTGTCACACAAAGGTGTGACACAGTGGTGCCCACCTAGCAAGTCAGTAAACATAGATCAGAGTGACACAGGAGCATTTGCTGCAGGAATCACAAACTTGCAGACTGCAAGGATGAGGTCCAAGTTGCAATTTGTGTATTACTAGGACTGTAATTGCTTGCACTTCCCTTGTAGCATGGGGTAAAAGTAGCTGAGGGCTTATCATTCTTCAAAATCCCTTCCAGATCCTGCTGACTATAGGCCAGGGATGCACTCTCACTCCTCACTTTAGTGAGGGTATTTTCTTCTACAGCTTCCAGTAAAACTGTCAAAGAATACAGTGGGCAGAGAAATCTGCACACCAAAATTCAGTGTCACTGGTGCCACACGAGGAGTTCTGTGGAAAGCCACGGGAGCTGCACGTTGCTGTATTTACCCTGCACTGCTGGGCACAGCCAAGGAAATCCAGGCCGTGCCACTGTTCAGTGCCACACAGCCAAGTGTCAGAGGCCAGGGGGACTCTCACCAAGGCCTCTTTGGGCTTAAGCCAAAAAGTCATGTCCATCTCACACTCCAAAGGCTCTTCTGCCACCATTTTCCCCACCACTCCACTCCCTAGAGACACATTCCTTCTGGGCAGATTTGACCCATAATTAAGCTGCAATGCATTAATTTTAGAGGGATATTGTGAAATGTTGCAAAGAGCTCACAACACTACAATACTAAACATCCTGAATGTACAGGACACTTCCAAAGGCCCCTTTTCCAGCTCCAGTACCGATGGTTTCCTACCATGAACCTTCACAAAACCGGCCTGACGCAATTCCTGCAGGAATGTGAGGACAAGCTGAGCAGGGAGGCTGAAACAGCTCGTTTTGTTACTTTAGTTTTTAGAACAGTGGCTTACTCAGGGCATCACTGTTACTCTTTTGTTCTGCCCTCACCCCGATTTTAACCCTGTAGCCATCAGGGCCAGTATCTCAGGTTCTGCAGTGCTACAGTATCTGTTCCAGCCAGGACTCCACTGCAACTTTCCCCTACACAGAACCACAGTCTGGACTAAGAGATTGGCTGGTTTATTCTTTTCAACAAAGCTCCTGCTGCAGAAAATGCTGCAGCACAAAGAAACCAAGGAAACCAAACCCAAGTATTCTGGCTGGAGCAAGTCAGCTGTTACAGCAGCACCAGCAAATACTTCCTGAAGGTAGAGGTTTCTCTGGTCTTCAGAGTGCTCAGCAAAAAGGGTCGTGTTCCTCAGTGTTCCTTACGAGCAGTAAAAGACAGGCAGAAAAGAAACATATGCAAATTAATGTAAAGAAATATCAGTAACCACTGGCAGGCAAATATTAGAATGTTTAATTTTTACCTTTAGAGCACAATTTACCTGTATTTTAAGTTAATTTTTCATGTGGCTCAACACCAGTTTTGCAGCAGCTGGACTTTCCATGTGCAGCTGTAGCAAGATGTCAGCCAGGAAATGAGCACCTTGCAGGATGCAAATAAACATCAATCTCTGATAGCACACACTGTCTATATATACTATACCTACCACAGTACAGTATTTCTCCAGCTCTGGCAAAGCAATACTTCATTTAAAAAACAAAACACAAGTACTCAATGTACTAGCATTTTAAATTGTTTAGCTCTGCTTTTTTAAAATATATAAGCCAAAGGAATTTTTAAAAGTGATTAACCACAAAAATTGGCAAAGAAGCTGTGAAGAAATTAATACTGATTTGCTCATTAGAAAAGGGTCTCATTTTAGTCCCATCTATCAAAGAACATAAGAGATGCACCACACTTTATTAAAATTAAAAATAAGGACCTGTTTTGCATGACCTGCACGCAATAAAAACCTCACCCTCTCAGAGAAGCTGTCTTCCCACTTATCAAAATCTTATCTTACTCCTTTGAAGTAAGAATGGAAGAAGTGAAATTAAATTAAAATATTTTTTCAGTGGGATTCCCTGATAAAACACAAACTTTGTGGCACTCACCACCACTGGACATGGATCACAGTAGAAAGCAATGGGGGAAGGAGTCAAACTACGAAGTCTCATTACCCTTTTGAGCAAATCAGCATCAGAACAGGAATTGCTGCATCAAATTTCAAGCTGGGCCTACTCCAACTTCAAGCATCGGTCCTTCCTGTGCTACTGTGTTTATATGTGGGGTTGTGGGGGTCTGATGTGTTTCAGTGGGCTGGGCTGGAAAAGGAGAACATGTTGCAACGTCTTTATTGCAAGACATGCAAGTCTTCAAGAGACACAAAAGGAAAGGAAATCATTTCTGCAGCCACTCAG